GCAGGAGTTGCAATTCTTGTATCGGATAAAATAGATTTTAAAGCAACAAAGATATAGTGGTAAAAGGATCAATGCAACAAAAAGAGCTAACGATCCTAACACCCAGATAGGAGACTTAGATTCAATGAGACAGAAAATTAATAAGGATATCAAGGACTAGAACTCAGATCCAGAACAAGTAAACTTAATAAATATTTATAGAGCTCCCCACTTCAAATACACAAAATATACATTCTTGTCAATACCACATCACACCTACCCATAAGTTTAAATGAAACATTGATTGGCCATTATTAATACCCAATTTTTTTCAAAATAAAGCAATATTTCCATTTACTCTCCCTCTTTCTCTTCCTCTTTCTTCCTCTCCTTTGCTTATTTTTTTTTCTTTCCTTCTCTCAAAAAAAAAAAAAGAAATCAACTTGTAAACCTCTAGATCCAGGTCGGCAATGTCTCTCTCTCATTGCTTGATTTCCTTCCTTCCCTTCCCTCCCTCCCCCACTCCCCGCTTCCTCCCTTCCTTCCTTCCTTCATCCCTTCCTTCCTCCCTACCGTCCTTCTTCCCTTCCTTCCTTCCTCCCCCCCCCCAAAAAAAAATGCTAGAGAGGAAGGCTGCCTCCAGTAGGCTCATGAGTAGGCTCAACACAGCCAAGAAAAGAAGCAGTGAGCTTCCAGATAAGTCCACAGAAATTATCCAAGCTAAAAATATGAGGAAAAAGTGAAAAACAAAACCAACAGAAATAAAAGAGCAAAAAGCCCTGGAGTAATTTCAAATGGTGAGATGAGGGAGAAGAAACCTTTTACAAATAATGGCAAAAAAAAAAAAAAAAAATGTTCAGGAATAATGAAAGACACCACACCACACATCCAAGTTCAGAAAACCGTAGCCAGGGTTAAAAATCTTTGTAAAAAGAAAACGCCATATCCAACTGCTCAAAATCAAAGATAAAGAAAAACATCTTGAAGGCAAATAATAATAAAAAGACACATTACACCCCGGGGAACAAAGATAAGGAGTAAACACACTTGATAGCAGAAACTATGCAAGCCGGAAGACACTGAAGTGACTGACATCTTTCAAGATTATAAACCCAGATTTCTATACCCAACAAAACATCTTTTAAAAATGGAGAGACTTCCAGTGCTGGACTGTTGTACTGGCTTGAGCCTAGAAAGTCAACACCAAGACAAAAGTATGCCACATTGCAGGGTCTTTATTGCCGGCGGCCACGCAGGACTCGCACCTCTCCAACCCGTGGCCCCAAAAGGAGGCTGTCAAGACCTTTTATACCCATAAAACGACCTCGGGAGTGAGGGTGAGGGGCAGGGGTGGGGGTGAGGGGCATCAGACGTTCTGAGGGCTAGTGGATTCTGTAAATCACCTCCTGGGCAGAGATGAGGGTGAGGGGCTCCAGACATTCCGGTGGATTCCTGGGCGAAGATGAGGGTGAGGGGCTCCGGACACTCCGAGGGCCAGGGGACTTTTGACATTCTGATTGTTAAGTGGTTCACAAAAGGCAAGATTAGCATTTGTTTACACATTGTCTGGGTAGGGTGGAAATTACAGTCCTTAATTACTTATTCACATTTGGGTTATAGAGAGCCGTTTCAACAGAAAGCCAGGTATGCTTGAGGTACGCAGTTCTGTGGGGCTTTTACCATGTCACAGGACAATATGGAGCATTCTTACTGTAGACAACTGAAAGCTCTGGACAATACATAAACTATCTGAGGACTTGGAAAAGTTAACAGTAGGAAGCAAATTGGCAAATGAGACTGAAACATAAAAAGCTGGTGGGGAGAGTTTCCAAGTATTCTCTGTCTTTCATCGCCCAGCGTAGACTGCAGGCTGACCCCTGTGTGGAACTGCACACCATATGTAGACAGAAAAAAATTCCAAAAGAAATTCTATTTTTTTCTGGCCAGAGGAAAAGAGACTCTGCAAGCCAAAGCATGTGCGTTGAATTTGGATTTTTGGTTTGCTTTGGTTTTTAACTTTTAAAAATTTTTCCCAGCCCTCTCCCAAGAGCATCCCATCATAGCACTGCACTAGGGTGGCAGAACGGACCCCAAACCTCAAGAGAAATACACATTTTCTGGCCACAGAAACTAGAAGAAAGGAGCCTTGTGATCCAAAGAGCATTGGGAAGTTCCTGTTATTTTCCCCCCTCTCTTTCCTTTGGCTGCTTAGCTGCATGGGCAACCCCCCCGAAACTGTGGGGGCAGTGTGGGTTTTAAAGTTTCCAGAAAAATCCCTTCCTTGTAATCAGAAGACTGGTAAATGGGGGCCCTGGGGGCTGTGAACGTGGTAGAAATCTCAGGAGAGTGCTGGAGGTGGGGGTCCCCTGATTCTGTAAATGAATCAACCCTGAGCTGGGCATGGTGGGGTGATCTATAGGGGGGAGATTTCATAAGTGCTGAAGCAGGAGCCAGAAGCCTCAGCCTATTTCCATATAAATAATGAGGAAGAAAGTAACTAGAAACATAACCAGAGTAGTTCTTAGTTATTCACAGGTGATCCTAGTTATTCATGGGGGGAAATCCTAGTTATTCACAGGTGATCCTAGTTGTTCACAGGTGATCCTAGTTATTCACAGGTGATCCTAATTCTTCTACTAACGCCTCTCAGGTCAGAAGTGTGACCCCAGGGTGACACTGTGAAAGGAATGACCCTAAGGCAAGATGCTCTAAGCCTCTGTCACACCTGCATAAGGGCTGCTGGAGGGCGCCTCGCTGGGCAGCGGCGCCAGCGCTGTGAAAGTGCCCACTGTTGAGCCAGCTAGGGAAGGAGACGTCCAAAACAGTTGAGACGTCTGCTTCCCCAGAGGAGTTAGGAGAGAACTCCGCCCCTCCGAGCTCTTGCGGTCGGCCTGACGCTGTCAGGGACACCCACAGGCATCCGGGGGCTTAACTGTCTCTATGCGATGCTGGGCTTCAGCGGTCACCTTCCATGTCCACTCTCATGTTCCGCTTCTGCACCTGGTTTCTTTTTTCTTGGAAGGGATAATCAGTAAAAGTAACGTAAATCTTAACGTCTATGTTCTTTCTTGACCACTGTGGAAAAAGTGCTGACACATTATGCTCCTTACCTCATCTCAGCCACCTGAAATTCTTGGGCCCTACCTGCATGACACGTGATGTACTTCACCCTATCACTGCCACGCCCTATCTACCCCAACCCCAGTAGCTGACCACCAAGACCATGCCCTAGTACCCTCCCCCCAGATTTGCAATTCAATAAAAATGAGAGCAACAGACATCTAGGCTCACTGAACCTCCACCTCCTGGATTCAAGCGATTCTCCTGCCTCAGCCTCCTGAGTAGCTGGGACTACAGGTGCCTGCCACCACACCTAGCTAATTTTTGTAATTTTAGTAGAGACAAGGTTTTACCATGTTGACCAGGCTGGTAAAGTTTTTTCTTTATAAACCACTTTTTCATTTAAACATGCATACTTAAAAATGCATACATAACTTGAGCATTTTTATGTGTTTAAACTCCCATTATTCTATCAACAGATATTAATATCTTTGTTTTCACCTTGAACCAGATAAGAACTGCAGTATGCTTGTACTTCCCTTCTTCCTCTCTCCCTCTCCTGTATCTGCCCCTTCCATCTGCTTATAATCCTCTGTGATTTTAATCCCAGACACTGTATTTTTTCTACAGTATGCAGCACAAAGTATTTAGTATTAACAATGACTTTTGCTGGTTTCCTTGCTCACTTTTTTTCCCAGCCAGGAAACAACACAGAACTCTGAGTCATCCATCATGCTGTAGCGGTGTCCTAGAGCCGCGCAGTGCACAGCCCACTCAACAGCTCACACTGGTCCTGCTTGAATGTCTGTCATGAGTTCCATTTGCACTTTGCTGCAGAGAATCCATGATGATTCTTTCAATGAGGATCCATGGATGGAAACCCCGGTAGGTATTTGCGTTTCTGAAAATGTCTTAAAACTCTGTCCTCCCCTTTCCCAGTTTTCAGATACCGCGAGAACTCTAGAACACTTTAATTCCGCCTGCTTTCGTGATCACTTATTCTAAGTCCACATCTATTTAGAACTCCAGAAGGCATTACTATTGTTGTTCTATGCAGTTAGTGTCTGTCTAGATTTACTCAGATTTACAGCCTTTTTATTGTCCTTTTTATTTTTGAGATGGAGTTTCACTTGTTACCCAGGCTGGAGTGCAATGGCGCGATCTCGGCTCACCGCGACCTCCGCCTCCTGGGTTCAGGCAATTCTCCTGCCTCAGCCTCCTGAGTAGCTGGGATTACAGGTGCACACCACCGGGCCCAGCTAATTTTTGTATTTTTAGTAGAGATGGGGTTTCACCATGTTGACCAGGATGGTCTCCATCTCTTGACCTTGTGATCCACCCACCTCGGGCTCCCAAAGTGCTGGGATTACAGGCGTGAGCCACCGCGCCCGGCCCTACTGTTCTTTATTCTTTCCTGTACTTCATACTTCCATCTGGGGCCACTTTCCCTCTGCTGAAGAAATCCTTTTAGTATTAACTTTAGTGTGTGCTTTCTCGCAGTTAATTCTCTAAGCCAAAAAGTGTCTGAGACAGGGCTCAATCAATTTAGAAGTTTATTTCGCCAAGGATAAGGACAATTCCTGGGAGAAAAAAACATGGAATCACAGAAATAGTCTGTGGTCCGTGCCTTTCTCCCAAGTTGACTTTGCGGGTGTTAGTATTTAAAGAGGAAGGGTGTGATCACATGACTGAATGTACACGGTGCAAGAGAAAAGGAGCCACTGGGGAAGAGTCAATTGTGCATTCATCTCATGACCAGCAAACTGAATTGGCATTTTCCATAAGATAAGGTGAATTTAGAGCAGCTACCGGTAGAGATGTTTACCTTTTATCTGTAACTATCTGCTTAGGAACCAAAGGAAATGCAGCTTCTTGCAGGACTCAGCTTTCAGCTTAATTTTTTCCTTTTGACAGAGTGAATTTGGGTGCCAAGATTTTATTTTCCTTTCACATTTCTCTGATTTGCTTTTTCTGAAATATGTTTATTTCACTTCTACCTTTACATGATCTTGTCATTGGGTATAAAATTCTATGTAGACAGCTATTTTCTTTCACCCCTTTGAAGATGTTAATTCCATTGTTACATGGCTTCCATGTTCATGTTGCAAAGTCAGCTGTAAGTCCTTTAGTTTCTCCTCTGTCTGTCTTCTTATAGGGTTCAGCCCTATAGGGATCTCCCTCTCTGCTGGTGCGGAGATGAGAAACTGTAGAAATAAAAGACACAGACACAGAGATAAAGAGGGTTTGGGCTGGGGGGTCCACTGCAAACCAAAGTGTGGACACCTGCAGTGGCACCGAGTGCCTGGACACTCTGACTTTTATTGAGTACAAAGCAGGGGTCAGGGAAGGCAGGGTGAGGTGATGGTGGTCAGTGCAGGGTCAGGTAACTTGTGTCTTGGAGACAGGGGGCCCAGGACTTTCAAGCAGCCGAGGCGAGGAGAAAAGCTAATGCGTCAGCGCTCTTCACATATTTGTCGGAAATGTCAAGGACATTAATTTTTATCTTCTGAGAAGAAGAGAAACTAGGTGCAGAAGCAGAGCGTGAGAGTGGACACGGAACATGATCACTGAAGCACAGCATCACAGAGAGGCAGTTAAGCCCCCGGATGTCTGTGGGCCTCCCTGACAGAGCTTGGAGAAGCGGAGTTTTCTCCTAACTTCCCCAGGAAGGAGATGTCTCAGCCATTTTGGATATCTCCTTCCCTTACTGGCTAAACACTGGGCACTTTCCCAGCACTGGCACTGCTGCACACCCGAGGTGCCCTCCAGCAGCCCTATGCGGGTGTGACAGGGCTTAGAGCATCTGGCCTTAGGATCACTTTGTTCACAATGTCACCTCAGTTCCATGTTTCATAACCCCATAGTTATTAGTAAAATTAAAGGTTATATTGAGTACATATCTTTCTGGTTATAAGTGAGCAGTTATAATATTATATATGATTATATAAAGGAATAACTGTGTGCCTACATTTCTAATTCTTTTCTAAATCAATATTTACATGGGAACAGGCTGAAGCTTCAGACCCTCCCCACGGCACTTGTGGGGTCTCCCCCCTACAGCTTCTATTCTCTTTGTCTTTGGTTTTCAGGTTTAGTATGTAATCAAGCATTTTTTTTTTTAAATCTATTCTGATTGTGGTTGATAGTATGTTTGTAATCTATGTTTTGTTACGTTTGATCAATTTTGACAAATTCTCTTATTATTTCTTCAGATATCACTGCTGGCCTATTCTCTCTCTGTGTTACTCCATTTTATAAATGCATTACACCTGTAATCCCAGCATTTTGGGAGGCTGAAGTGGGCAGATCACCAGGTCAGGAGTTCAATACCAGCCAGACCATCATGGTGAAACCCTGTCTCTACTAAAAAAACAAAAATTAGCTGGGCATGGTGGCATGTGCCTGTAATCCCAGGTACTCAGGAGGCTTAGGCAGAAGAATAGCTTGAACCCAGGAGGCAGAGGTTGCAGTGAGCTGAGATCGCATCACTGCATTCCAGCCCGGGCAACAGAGTGAGACTCCATGTAAAAAAAAACATTATACCTTTTCACCATATTGCATATCTCTTAGGCCTTTTGCTATATTGCCCATATTTTTTCTCTGTTTCTGTCAGAATATTCTTTTTTTTTTGAGACAGAATCTTGCTCTGTCACCCAAGGTGGAGTGCAATGGCGTGATCTTGGCTCACTGCAACCCCCGTCTCCCAGGTTCAAGCAATGAAAGGCAACTGCAACCATACCTAGCTATTTTTTTTTTTTTTAAAGGGCTGAAGAGGCCAGGTGCGGTGGCTCAAGCCTGTAATCCCAGCACTTTGGGAGGCCGAGGCAGGTGGATCACGAGGTCAAGAGATCGAGACCATCCTGGTCAACATGGTGAAACCCCGTCTCTACTAAAAATGCAAAAATTAGCTGGGCATGGTGGTGCGTGCCTGTAATCCCAGCACTTTGGGAGGCTGAGGCAGGTGGATCACGAGGTCAAGAGATCGAGACCATCCTGGTCAACATGGTGAAACCCCGTCTCTACTAAAAATAAAAAAATTAGCTGGGCATGGTGGCACGTGCCTGTAATCCCAGCTACTCGAGAGGCAGAGGCAGGAGAATTGCTTGAACCCAGAAGGCGGAGGTTGCAGTGAGCTGAGATCATGCCATTGCACTCCAGCCTGGGTAACAAGAGCAAAACTCTGTCTCAAAAAAAAAAAAAAAAAAAAAAAAAGGGAGCTTTAGAACTGGCTAATTTCTTGTATTTTTAGTAGAGATGGGGTTTAGCCATATTGGCCAGGCTGGTCTCAAACTCCCGACCTCAGGTGATCCACCCACCTTGGTCTCCCAAAGTGCTAGGATTACACTGCGGCCACTCTGAATATTTTCTTCTGACCTATCTTTCAGTTCATTAATTATCTCTTTCACTGTGTCTAATCTGTTTCAAACACATCCACTGAATTTATAACTTCAGCTAGTATATTTTTTGTTTGAAAATTTCCATTAGATTCTTATATACCCCACTTCTCTGCTGAACATTTTCGTCTCATAATCTACTTTCTTGAACATATTAATCACATTCCTTTAAAGTCTATGTATGATAATGTCAATATCCTGTTGACATAATAATTCCATGGGATTATTTCTTATATGTATTTTGGCTTTGGATCATTTGTCTTCTGGTTTTCTTTGTGAACTTTATCCGGATATTGTGTATGGAAATATTTTCATTAGTTTGAGGCCCTGGATGATGCTATTTTCCTCAGTATATTTCCCTTTGCTTCAGGCTGGCCTTGGGAAAGAGGGCAGATCAGTTGAGTCTGGGATTGAGCCCTTTGGAAGCTTGATTTCAGACTTTGAGAGGGATGATCCAGTCACCCCTCAGCCTTCCTCCCCTACTGCAGCACTCAGTGCTCTCGGCTGAAGGTCTGGGTCACTCAGCAGAGCCTATCTTGGGGGCCGTCACCAATTATTGCGTCCCCAACCCTGTAAGACTCAAAAGCTCACTCAGAGTGTCAACTTCTTCCCAGTGCATATGTGAGACTGAATTGTGTCCTCCAGCATTCACATAGTGAAGCCCATTTCATCTGGAGATAGGACCTTTAAGGAGGTGGTAAGGATGGGGCCCTAATCCCATAGTACCAGTGTCCTTGCAAGAGGAGGAAGAGACACCAGAGATCTCTCCATCTGCACACACAGGGGAAAGGCCATGTGAGAACATGCCAAGGTGGCCACATACGAGCTGGGAGGAGAGGCTTCACTGGACACCAACCCTGATGGCTCACTGATTTTGGGCTTCCAGTCTCCAGAACTGCCTGGAGGCTGGGAAATAACTATCCATGGTTTGTATTTTTTTATGAAAGTCTGGGCTGAATAATACAGGATACTTATCACCAAATGCCTCAAAGAAAAAAAAAAAAACAAAAAACAACTTGCCTTTTTCCTGAGGTGGTGGGAGGTCTTTGCCCCTCAGAGAAAAATTTGTTTTTGTAACTATCCGATATACTTAAACAGATTTAAAAATATTTTATACCGATTTTTGAGCTATTTTTCTTGGGTTTGTCTGAGGCAACCAGTCCTTCCTAACTGTAAGGAAAAACTTCTCTGAATGCTTCAGGCATTTCTCCTCACACCACCCATCTCAGTGTCTGTCTTCTCTCAGCCATTCAATACTCAGGGGTCCTTTCCATTTATAGAGTCAAATATTTCTTTAGTTCAGAGAATTTTATTTTCTTTTGTTTAAAACAAGGTCTCGTCCTTCTGCCCAGGCTGGAGTGCAGTGGTGTGATCTCGACTCACTGCAGCCTCTCCTGAGTTCAAGCGATTCTCCAGCCTCAGCCTCCCAAATAGCCAGGATTAAAGGCATGCATCACCACACCTGGCTAATTTTTGTATTTTTAGTAGAGACGGGTCGTCACCATGTTGCTCAGGCTGGTCTCGAACTCCTGACGTCAGGAAATACACCTGCCTCAGTCTGTCAAAGTGCTGGCATTACAGGCAGGAACCACTGCACTGGGCCTCAGAGATACTTTCTTCAATCCTTTGATTTTTGTCCTGCCTTCCTTTTTTCCACCTTCTCCTTCTGTAGCTCCTGTCAGGTGGACACAGCCCTTCCTGTACTGAGGCCCAGTGTCCTGGCTTCCCACCTTCCCTCTCTTTAGTTCTCTGTCATGGGAGAGTCCTGTGACTTTGGCAGTTGTGTCCTCAGCCAGGACCCCTCTCCTAGTCAGCACACGGGTTGAGCTTTCACGTCAGCAATCCTCTTACTCATTTCCCAGTTCCTGCCTTCTTGTAAGTCTTCTTGGGACCATCACCAGGTGTTGGCGACACTGAGGACGGGCTCTGGCAGTCTCGGATCTGGACCCTGTGCTCATGGTAGGCCCTGGTTTTTCCTGAGCTCTGGTTTCTCTGGTCCATTCGATCCCCTTTGGCTGTGTCCTTCAGAAACCTGTTGGTGTTTGGTCTACCAGCAGTGCCCTTTGTGTCCCCGCAGCTCAGTGGAGCCTTTTTGCATCTTTGTGGTCACAGGAAGGATTTGGGGCAGGTCAGAGTGTGGGAGCAGCGTTCTTTCTTCGCAGACACAGCATGACTTGATTCGGACCACCATCGTCTTTTAGCCTGCTCTTGAAAACTGAATGTCATCTGAGCATCCTTGATATTCGTGACACGGCTTTTTGTCAGAGGAATGCACCTGGCTTAACCGCGAGTGGTAACACACCTGGGCTCCACGTGTCATCAGTTCTAAGCTGCGTGTTTCTCACGTCCACAACATGAAGCGGGCTGCCTTATCCACAGCCCGTGGGAATCTAATGTCCGTGCTACCGTGTGGTCTTATGTTTTAGGATCAACAGTGTCTCGGAGTCGGCCTGCCCTGCGACTCTCCCCACCAGCAATCTAGGGGCTCTGAGCCCCGCTTCCCCTCGCAAGGGGCTGGTTGCAGGGGTCCCCCTCCCAAGACAGCCTAAGCCGGCCGCCCACCTCCGCATCCTCTGCGAGGCCTTGGGTTCCAGGTTCCAGAAAGATGGGACCACACCCTGGGACCTGGGCTGACCGTCCGACCCTCTCACCGAGAGACCTCCCCGGCCTTCCCGCTCCTCAGTGGGGGCTCTAGCCAAGAAAGCCAATTCTTAAGAGTGGAAGTTACGGTCCGCTAAGATTTGTCCCCTGGCTTTGCGACCGCGCTCGGTTGGCTGGGCCGTCCCCGGCTCAGAGGCTTAGGTTCAAATCCAGGTCCTGCCCTTTCCCGGCTGAGCCTGCGGGGTCCGGCTCCCCCGCCTCCGCCATGCCCGGATGGCACCGCCCTGGCACTGCCGAGGGACGCAGGGGTGCCTGCCCTCACGCGCATTCCATCCGAGAACCTGGGATCACAGACTCGGAGGCGGGGAGGGCCGGGCACCCCAGGAATGGCGCCGCAAGTCCGGGGAGGCCCTGCCGGCCCCGCGCTCCAGCGCGTTTCCCGCATCCGCGAGCCCCCGTTCCGCCGGCACCGGCGGCGTCCAGCCTGGGTTTGCCCGCGCTCGGCGCTGCTCACCAGCGCTGACCTGGGGATGGTTGGGCCGCCCAGTGCCTCAGTTTCCTCGTAGGTAAAACGGGTCTTCCTGAGGACGGGTTTGAGGGCCCGGCACAGCCCGGTGGGAGCGGCGGCCGAGGGAGCCCGGCCCGGGCTGACAACGGACAGGAAGCTGCCGCTGCAAGGAGCCGCGTGGCGCCCCCAACCGTCCCGGGTGCGGGCCTGATTCGCGCGGCCTCGGCGGCCGGGACCCCGCGGGCGCCTTGTCCGCTCCGTCCGCGGCTCCCGAGAGGGAACGTCGCCCCCAGGGGCCTCCCTCCTCCGCCTCACGGGCTGCGGCCCGGCCTCACTTCCCGCACCCCAGGAACGCTGTCCCCAGAAAAGGAGTCGGGGCCAGGGCGCGGGAGGGGAGGCAGGCAGGGGTCCCCAGGGCCCGGGCTCCCCGCACGCGCCTCTGGCCCGCGCACCCCAGTGCCCTAGGCCGTCTGAGCCCGCCGGGGTCGCGCCGGACCCGCCCCGTGACGCATCTCCAAGCGCCGGGAGCCGCGGCCAGGCCAGCGCGCGCCCGACGCCCCAGGGAGCGCGCCTCATGCACGCGCGCAGACACGTGACCCCCCGCCGGCCAACGAGCGCGCCGGGATTTGGGGGATAAAGCGCGGCCCCGCGCGCAGTTGCGGCGGGAGAGCGGCGGGGCCGTGAGCGTGACTCGCCCGCTCCGCGCTGCTTCCCCCGCGCCGCCTGCCCGCGCCGCCCGAGCAGCCATGTCCGAGGAGAAGCCCAAGGTAAGCGCGGCGCCCCCGTCTGCACGCGCGGCCATCGCGGGCGTCTTGGGCGCGTCCGCCGACGCGCGCCGCTCCCCGTCGGCCCGAGGAAACCGCGGCGACCTCGGGGACCCGCGCCCAGGCCGGCGGCGCCGCCTGCGCTCCCGTCCCTTCTCTTCCCTCCCCTCCCCCGCTCCGCCCGGCTCGCCGCTCCCCTCCCCCGCCCGGCGGCGCTCGGCGGCGCGCCCCGCCTCCAGCCCGGCTCCGCCCCCAACAAGACTCCGCCCCTTCTCTCCTCCCATAGCCAGGCTCCGCCCCGCTCCCCACCCCTTGTAGTGTCCCGCCCCGAAGTGGAACCGCCTAAGGCGCGCCCCGCCCCGAAGCGCTCTGTGCCTCCAGTTCCGCCCCCGCCGGGCCTGGCCACGCCCTTGCTCCACGCCCCGCCCCTCCCCGGCCGGGAAGCGGCAGGTCTTGCGCCGGGTGTGGGCCCCGCGCTGCTTCTGCCCAGCGCGGCGCCCTCCGATCTCGCCCCGGCGGTGCCCCTGAGGCGTCTTTGCGTGGCCTTCTCTTGAGTCATTGCCCGGTGGCGTCGCCCTCTCCCGCCGCATCGCCCTGGGAGGGTCGCATGTTGAGCGCACGGGTTGGCTCTGGGATTAGCGTCCGGGGTTACCCCGGAGGGGCGTGCTCTGAGGGGCTTGGCCCCTGTGAACAGCTCTGCCATCCTTTCAGGGTGCCCATCGCGCGCCTGGTATTCACCCATTTCTCCACATCGTGTCCCCGTGTGTGCTCACCCCTCTCCTTCGCGATCCCCAATCGTGCCCCCAGTGTACCCATCCTCCCCTTCGCGACCCCCCTTCCCCGTGTGCGCCCACCCCTCCACATCGCATCCCCGGTGTGTGCCCACCTCTCTTCGAGACTCCCCAATCGTGTCCCCAGTATGCACCCATCCCTCCCCGTGTGTACCCACCCACTCCACCATGTGCGCCCGTGTGCGCCCACCCCTTTCACCTCGTTCCCTAGTGTGCACCCACCCCTCCCCATCGTATCCCCCTTCGTGTGCGCCCACCCCCTCCCCATCGCACCTCCCGTTGTGTACCCACCCTTCCCCATCGGGTTCCCCAGTGTGCGTCCACCCTTCCCAACCCCACCCCCACCCCTGTCTGCGCCCATCCCCTATGCATGCCCACCCCTCCTTAGCCAGCCTTGGGTGTGTTTTAGTTTCCTCGATTGCCACACTGGAGTATGCAATCCTGTCTCAGTCCTGGGGTGTGCACCCTTCACTAAGGTGCACTGGCCTGTCTTTGGGAGGGTCTGTAGTCATGTTGACCAGGATTAAAAAAACAGAAACTACTTGACTAGCCTAAAAAAAAAAGAGAAACTTAGGCCGGGCGCGGTGGCCTATAATCCCAGCACTTTGGGAGGCGGAGGCGGGTGGATCACGAAGTCAAGAGATTGAGACCATCCTGGTCAACGAGGTGAAACCCCATCTTTACTAAAAATACAAAACTTGGCTGGGCATGGTGGTGCGCACCCGTAGTCCCAGCTACTTGGGAGGCTGAGGCAGGAGAATTGCTTGAACCCAGAAGGCGGAGGTTGCAGTGAGCCGAGATCCTGCCATTGCACTCCAGTGTGGGTAACAACAGCGAAACTCCGTCTCAAAAAAAGAAAGAGAAACTTCTGAAGCCCTTGGTGTGCACTGTCGACCAAGTGGAAGATGGTGTCATATCCCAGTGGAAGATGACTAGAGCTGAAGACTCTGTAAGGAGGCTGTCTCTGATACTGGCCTGGTCCTGGAGGTGACCACCCTCCGTTTACAAGTGAGCGTGGAGGTTCAGTGCTAGACACTAGTGGGAACTGGGATTGAAGCTCCTGGAACCACGGGCGGGGTCTCTCTGGAAGGCTGCACTCCACTTGCTGTGTAGTGAAACTCCAGGGAAACCTCTATCCAGTGTTTGGAGTGACCTTTGCTTTTTACAGTTTGACTTCAGTGAACTCAAACTTCTTCCACCCCTGGGGTTGTTGGAATATTTAAATACTTGTTAAAACTAGGCCAGATATACAGGTGGATCACCTGAGGTCAGCAGTTTGAGACCAGCCTGGCCAACATGATGAAACCCTGTCTCTACTAAAAATACAAAAAGTTAACCAGGCGTATTGGCACACTCCTGTAGTCCCAGCTACTTGGGAGGCTGAGGCAGGAGGATCTCTTGAACCAGGGCGGGAGAGGTTGCAGTGAGCCAAGATCGCACCACTGCACTCCAGCCTGGGTGACAGTGAAACTCAGACTCCAAAAAACAAAAAGCAAAAAAACTAGGCCAAGGATAAGTGTCTGTTGTGTTTTTGTAGGTAGCTTCCTCTTAGCGAAGAGTAAATGAAGAACCTATGAGACCCATTTTCTCAGCAGTGTTTAAACCTAGCTCTGCCACGTGCTCAACTTCAGGGTCCAATTCCGTTGAAAATACTTGTTCAGTTCCGGAATGACTGATGGCTGCCACCTCACCGGACCCACTTGTGGTGGGTCCCCTTCGTGTGTGTGGGAGCAGCTCTGCCCTGGGCCTCTGAGGAAGGGGAAGAAGTGGACCCTGGGACCCAGTGGTGCTGGGAAGAAGAGCTTTTGGGTCAGGTGGAGAATAGTTCTGACTTCCCCGAATAGCTGAGGCAGAGGATTGCCTGTAGTGAACTGGGGTCCATGTTTTTAGGGCTTCTTTTTTTTTGAGACGGAGTCTGGCTCTGTTGCCAGGCTGGAGTACAGTGGCGCAATCTCAGCTCACTGCAACCTCCACCTCCCGGGTTCAAGTGATATCCTGCCTCAGCCTCCCGAGTAGCTGGGACTACAGGCAGCTGCCAGCATGCCCGGCTAATTTTCGTATTTTTAGTAGAGACGGGTTTTCACCATGTTGGCCAGGATGGTCTCTATCTCTTGACCTTGTGATCTGCCCGCCTCGGCCTCCCAAAGTGCTGGGATTACAGGCGTGAGCCACTGCGCCCGGCCCAGGGCTTCATTTTTTAACTCACGAGTTCATTTGTTTATTAGGAATTCACCAGGGATCTGGAACAGACTGTTCATTCCTGGCATCTGGCTGTTAATGGGGCAGAGGTGCTGTGGCTGGCCCTGCCCTGCCCCAGCCTCTCCCGGGGCCGCAGCCATTGCCCGGTGTGGGCAGGTCTGGGTCCTGCATCTGTGCCTTTGAACACACCCATATCTTCCTTCCCTAAAGAAGCCAGTGAGTCCTCATGCTTGGGGAAGTGAAGGGGGTTCATGCAGGGGTCCCCACTAACATCCTGCCCGGAGTGGTCTGCATGCCCTCACTTCCTGGGCCAGTTTTTTCTGTGCTGGAGGCCACATTGGGGGTGAGGGGGTGGGGGGATGGGGGTGTGCCAGCTCACCACTCAAGCTGCTGCGAAGCCAGTGTCCTCCCTGGAGTGGGCAGGGATGCCTGGTCCAAGACTGGAGTTGGGGGGTGAGTGCCACCTCAGAATATACATCTTCAGGCTTGTGGCTGGAGCCCCTCACTGCCAGGGCCCCTCACAGGCCACTCTTGCTCCCTTGACAGAGAGCACCATACCTCCCCAAGGGTCTCCAGGAATGTACAGTGCTCCCTCTGGGAGCACCTCCGCGTAGGGTGAGAAGGTACCAGGGTGCTCCAGACTTGACGTTCAGATGCCCCGTCGCTTCACTCAGACGGCTTCACCCAGCAGTGCAGGCAGCCTGAGGGGTGTCCCACTTTGCTGCTCAGACTGAGCTGCCCCGAAGTTGGCTCCCAATCTGTTGACATCGGCTTCTTGCCTCAACTGAAAATGCATTTCCAGGCAACAAGACACGCTGATTGTGCCTTGCTGAGCAGCTTCAAGCATGGCATGAATTAAAAAATAAAATGCTACCCGCTGCTCTCAGATGGGACAGTTTGAAACCAGAAAGTACTCGGAGATGGCTCCCTTCACATTTGCCAATGACAGGGCAGTGAGAAGGAGCCTGGCTGCCCGCCGTGGGAAGCGGCTCTCCTCAATTGCATTCCTGAGGTCACCACTTTAATGACCCACAGGGTCCCTCTGAGTCGCAAATGTTTTGTTCTGTTTTGGTTTCTTTTACTAGTGCTGAATAGCTGTAGTGACTTGTGGATATGTCTTTTTACTGCTTTCATAAGAATAATTTTTTAAAAAAGAGATGGGGTCTTGCTGTGTTGCCCAGGCTGGTCTCAAACTCCTGGGCCCAAGCCATCCTCCCACGTCAGCCTCCCAGAGTGCTGGGTTGATGGGTGTGAGCCACTGTGCCCAGCCCACAAGAATCACTTTAAAATAAAGATGGATCTTCTCTGATTTTTCCCTAGCTTTATTAAACGGGTTTTCTTTGAATTAACCATGTTAGAGGACTGTAGATTCGCATTGTTTTACCCACAGATGCTTAACAAGTGGAAGTTAAAAATCAATTCCGTGTAAAAATGAGACAATCACATGAGTGATTCCGACTCCTGGACAGTTTTAAGAACTAGGTTGTCTTTAAGGACTTCAAAGAGCTGATGGTCACCTAAGGACCTGCCCTGCAAAGTCGCGGTTATTTTGAGACACAGTTTTGAGGCCAGTCTCTGGTGTCCCCTGCAGGAGGGCGTGAAGACAGAGAACGACCACATCAACCTGAAGGTGGCCGGGCAGGACGGCTCCGTGGTGCAGTTCAAGATCAAGAGGCACACACCGCTGAGCAAGCTGATGAAGGCCTACTGCGAGAGGCAGGTGCGCGCCTCGGCCCCCCGCACGGCTTCCCGCGTGTGTGCAGGTCCCGTGGGTTCCAGGCATCCCGGGAACATGAGTGTCGGGGCTGGACCCAGCTGCAGCTGCTCGAGGCGCCCTCCTCACGGACAGGCGGGTGGGCGGGTGCTTGTGTTGTAAACTTGGCCCAGGCTGGGCTTGCTGACTGTGCCCCCACGGCCTTTTATGTGGCGGGGGGCCCTGGAGGCTCAGATGAGTGCAGTGGGGTTTTCTTCCTGACAAGGCGGCTTCCTGGGGGCTGTGTTCTTCATGGGGCACTGACATCTGTGAAGTCTGTGATGCTGAAGGCTGTTGGGAGCCCTGCCCGGGGCTGGCCTTTCTGCAGCTGCAGGTGGCGTGTGCCCCATGGCACTGTCACCTTGTCCTTGCATATGAGCTGGAGTAGCCCGGGAGAAACAGTGCCCTCATCTGCAGTGTGGTTTTCCCTTTTGTTAGGAAAGGAAAGAAAGTGTGTGATTCTTTCTCCTCCTTCTCCAGTTTCAGGATAATGAGCTGCCTCACTGGCAGTGCCCTGCTGGGCGGACGCCTTCTGGTTGCTGTGTGATTGTGGACTTGGTATGTGTGTGCGTGTCAGTCATTCTTGGTAGTGCTCGGAGGACTCGCCCTGGGCCAGGGGGTCCCTCTCCAGGCCACTCCTATGGGCTTTGCCTGCTGGCTGCTGCCTGGAGTGTTGGGGGTCTGGCCCTGCAGCCAGGTGCCTTTCCCCAGGGAGCCCTGCTTCCCTGAGTGGGACCTGGAGGCTGCTTTTCTTTAGCTGTTTTGAAAATGCAGCAACTCGTCGCCCTTTTATTTTACTCTCTTGCCTATGGATTT